CAGGGTCAAACTTTATTCATTTTGTTGGCCTATTTTTGTGTCTTATTTGATAAAATAATATAGTCATGTCACCTCTAGTTTTGTAGATCTTTTCATGTAGTTTTTAAATATGTAATTTTTATTTTTTAATTTCATACGATTTTTCATATAAAATGATTTGAAAATAATTTCAGTCAAACATCGTAACGCGCAATGGGAACTTTATTTATGGACGGAGGGAGTATATATATATATATATAGACACACACACACATATACATATATATATATACATACATACATACATACATATATATATATATATATATATATTTGAATAGGAAAATATTATTAAAGGAAAATAAAGGAACCAAGGGGGGTGCCAGCCCGACAATAGGCCAAAAGGAAATCCAATCAACAAGGGAGTACAAGAAGAGCTGCCAAACTACAAAACTTAAAAAGAGAAGCTGCCAATAACTAAAGGAAAAGAGGAGCTGGATTAAAAGACCTCCAGCTACACCCATATCTGCATCCCAAAAAAAACTTGCAATGTAGGTCATCCTGTAGTTTATCAACCCAAATATCACAGCCAGGAGTACCGTCCAAATTCCATCCATTACAGCTTAACAAGGAAAAAAGTACAAAAGCCTGTCTATGTATGACCCTCATAGTAGGATGATGAATATGCTACTCCAAATATGATAAACCTGTCTAATCCTTATGCATATTCCAAAGCAGAATGCCTAATTTCCAATAAAACATTGAGAGCCCTTTTCTTTAAACCCCTGGAATGAAGCATAGTTAAACCATCTTCTTTAGGTCCTCCCTTGAGCTACTAAAGACAGCAAGCATCAAATGAAACTAGTAGCTAGAAACAAACCACTCGTTATGTTTTCCTGGATGCATTAAAAGAAAAAAGACTAAACACTAACCAATTTAACTTTGTGACTCTTCAGCCTGTTCCCCGGTAAGAAAATCCGCCACAAGCTGTTCATCAGCTTTGGAACAAGAAATGAAAACTGGGTATTTAGAATCTTCAAATTGAACTAAGGTCACTTTTTCCATGCTTTTCACCGTCTCCCGTGTTGCTCTTATTGTCTTACCCTTCATGTTTTGGAAGAGTCCCATTTTCAGTTTATCCAGTAGTGATGTCCTCGCCAAAGCCTCTTGAACCTGTCTTTCCACTGCCCTGAAGATTGTTTCGAAGTAGGCCTCAAAGGCTGGTTGAAATAACTGTTGGATCTTCTTTTCTTCTTCTTCAGCTTCCTTAATCTCTTCTGGCCCAGCATTTAACCCTTGTTCTGTGAGGCTAGCCATTCGTGAAACCTGTGTAACATCTTGATCCAGAAGATTTGAGGATATGGAAGGGAACCTCAAGTGTCCTTCCTCTACCCTCTCCACCCGAAGCATTTGGTCTGTCAAATCTTGTGAGATTGAAGCTTCTGCTCTCCAGGGAGTATATTACCTTTGCAGATACAGTCCCTACTAGAGATTTTAAAGCTTCATTCAATGCTTTTACAAACAGCTTAATTCCTTCTGATTTCCTACCTACTAGGATGCAAATAGAAGACAGCTCCCTTTCGGATCCTGCACTGATTCGAACGAAACATCCAAATTTGTTTGAATCCCAGTGGGACTTTGCAGTTACTCCCCCTTCAAATTTTGTAATCACCCATCCCTCTCTAGCCAAAGGTGGGTGGCTTAGTGATTCATAAATCCAGAGACCAAAGGAGCGTGATAAAGAAAAAGATCTAGACATACCATTCTTAGATTCGGAAATTGTAAGATTGTCTAAGACCTGGAATGTGAATACCTTGCTTTCAACCGAAATTGAGATGCTCGAATCGAGTTTGAAAGGCCCTTGGTAACGATATGATCTCTCCCCAAACCCATTTTTGGATCGCCATCTTGCTCTGAAATTCCTTGAATCATCTCTCCACCCCAGCGTTTGTGATCCTCTCGCTTGGAAATTCCAGTTCCGATGGAGCGTTTTCTAGAACCCTATATATATATATATATATATATATATATATATATATATATATATATATATATATATATATATATATATATAGGGATTGACTCTAGTGAGATGACACCTTATGGTGAGATGACATGCTACGGTCAGATGACGCAAAGCTCACTATGAGCCACTACAAAGCTCACCAAAGACAACTGTAAAGCGCGCTCACCAAAGTATAAAGCAGAGCTCACCATATTTTTTCAACACTTTGAATTTTTTTTGAAAAAATAAAATCAAAGGAAGGGGTGATGACTAGATTTTGACCGTTGACCGGGACCTTTGACCACCGCCTACTACCTGCCACCGCCGGTTGCCGGCCGCCGCCGCCGCTGCACCGCCGCCTCTGACCGGTGGTTGACCGGTGTTGTTATTTTATTTTTTATTAATTTTTAAATTTTCAAAATTTAAAAAAAGGTGAGTTTTGATTTTCAAAATGGTGAGCTTTGCTTCATTTCTAGGTGAGCTTTGCATTGTCCATTGGTGAGCTTTGTAGTGTTGTGTGGTGAGCTTGGCGTCATCTCACTGAAGCATGTCATCTCACCGTAAGGTGTCATCTCACTGGATTCAAGACCATATATATATATATATATATATATATATATATATATATATATATATATATATATATATATATATATATATGAAAATGCTCTCTCTCTCTTCTCTCTCTCTAGAGACGGCGATAACCCGACGGTTTCCGGCGAACAACCGGTGAGGTCCAAGCTCGTCTATGATCTTTTCAAACAATCACCTAAAACTTGTTCTCAGGCTAATAAGAGTATGTTCAAGGGATGCCCGTCCATAACCTTCTCTCAAGAAGATGTCGACGGACTAACAACTCGCTTCAGGTATGCTTTGATTGGGAATTTATGAGAAGACCCCCCTCTTTGTTAAGAATTTCTTGACTCGTTTGGGTTTCTCTGGGGGGTTCACAGTAGGCGAACTCTTTTCCAATAGCTTCCTCATCAATTTCGAGCAAGATGATTGTTGAAACACGGGTTTGTCACATTTTTGTACTAAAGCCGTGTTCGTCTTTTTGACAGGTTTTGATAATGCCAAACCGCCGAGAACGAGACAAGTCATTGAATATACAAGGCGAAGAACGAAGATAAGAACAAGAGCTAAAATAAGACAAAGAACGAAGACCGTAGTCTTAGTATTGTTGAGTCGGTCACAATTGTGATCAAGACCGACCCAAACCTCACGCCTTGGCTCTTTAGGCTAAAATATATTTTTACATTTATAATATCATAAAAATGTTTTTCAAACTTGTTTAAGACATTAAAAACACTTGGTGTTTGCCCAAACCAAAAACCAAGCCATCCGGCGTTCGGCTTTCAGAAACCGGCGTTCGGCATTCGGTTTTCGGTGTTGGTTTTTGGCGTCCAAACCAACCAAGTGGTTTTCAAATTTTTATTATTGGTTTTTACTTCTGGGCACATTTAAATAGTTTTCCATCAAAAACACTTCAAAAACCACCTTTCGTTTTTTGTCGTTTGATAAAAACCATGCGAAACGGCATAAACTTGGCTAGCCGTGGTTTTTACTTAAATGAAGTGGTTTTCGATTCCTTTTGTGTGGGAATTGTTTTTGAATGCATTTAAATGGTTCTCCAATCAAAACATCATGAAAACGACCTTTCGGTTTTGTCTTTTGGTAAAAACCACCCTTGTACGGCATTGACTTGGTCAACCATGGTTTTTACCTTAACGACGTGGTTTTCAACTTACAAAGCTTTTTTTGACATCAAAATACATTAAATAAGTGTTTTATATACTTAATTTTTACTTTGGAGAACTTTGCATTTTTCGGTCGGGTTTTAGCGTCGGTGAGCTAGGCCATGGTTTTGGGCTAGCCATCTACCCAGTGATGGTAGATATCACCCATCCATGGGTAAGTGATCCCGGGATTCCAGAATCATTCCACCCAGCGATGGGAGATATTACCCAGCGATGGGTAAGCAGCCTTCAGCCCAACCAACTTCCAGAACCATGTCAAACAGCGATGAGAAGTTCTACCCATCGCTGTTAAAGCCTTGGTCCAACATCAACACAAGGCAGAACGACCTTACCCAGCGATGGGGAACTTATCCCATCGATGGGAACCCAGCGATTGTAAGGCTAAACCATCGATGGGAAGGCATGACTGTTGGAAGTCATTTAAGGTTGATTCTTTCCTTGTTTGGAAGTCAACCTCCCACCCAGCGATGGGAAGCTTGTACCCATCGATGTGTAGGTGACCATTGGCTTCAAAACTGAAGGAAAATTGGCTTACCAGCGATGGGTGAGTCCAAACATCGATGGGAAGCCAATATCCTGCAGATTCTAAATTTATTCAATCCCATAAATCAAGCCAATCATCCCTTTAATGTATTGGTCCGTTGGAGCCTATTTTGGAACTATAAAAAGGGGTGTTTGGGTCTGCTTTACACATCAATTCACTTTACAATATTCATATTATCATTTCATCCAAACCACATTATTTTCCATAGCTTTCTAGAGCCAACTTGTGTGAAGTTTGAGTTGTTCTTGAGCGTATATATTTTACTCAATATCTACTCTTAAAGAGAGTCTTGTTCTTGAGTGTTTAGTGTTGTATACACGTTAAGGGAAGCTTGTTTCCCTTGGTTGTACGAAGGAAAGGTATTTTCCTTCGGGTTGAAGTCTTGGAGTGCGGTATCTCCGAGCAAGTGTATTGAGGCTCGTGGGACTCGAGTTCTCAGGTTGTAACGGTTTGTTAAGCACCCGTAAGCTTAACGGAAGTAGTGTAGCTCGAGAGAGTCTCTCGGGAGACAGGATTAGCCACACGTTGTGGTGAACCAGTATAAATCTTGGTGTGCTCCCTTTACGCTTTCTACGCTCTTTACTTTTCACGTTCTTAATTTTTTATTCCTGCGATTTCTACGATCAAACGCTATTCACCCCCCCTCTAGCGTTGGTCACTTATTCTAACAATTAGTATCGGAGCCTAACTCGCGTCGAAACTTAACCATTTGAGAGTAAAGCGATCATGGGTTCCTCTTCTAGAAATCTGTATGCAGGAATAGGTGAAGGGCAATCAACCACACGGCCACCTCTTTTTGATGGAACCAATTATACATATTGGAAAGAACGAATGATCATCTATATTCATTCCAAAAACTTCCAATTATGGTTGGTTATCAAAAACGGGGAAGAGGTGCCGATGAAGAAAGTCGGAGACAAGTTGATCCCCAAGGCCGAAGATGATTTTGATGTTGAGGACATCAAAAAGGTCGAGAATTATGCAAAGGCAATAAACATGCTTTATTGTGCTGTAAACCCTGATGACTACCACAAAATCTCCTGCTGCTCAACCGCCAAGGAGATGTGGGATAAACTTGAAGTGACGTACGAAGGAACGGACCAAGTACGTGAAGCCAAGATCGACTTCCTCACCCAAGAGTATGAGATGTTTAGGATGAAGGAGCACGAGAAGATTGAGGACATGTTCGACCGATTTTCCAAGATAGTCAACGATCTCCATGCATTGAAGAAGACGTACACCGACAGAGATCTTGTACGAAAGATCCTACGGAGCTTGACATCCGAATGGCAATCCAAGGCCGATGCCATCTATGAGTCAATCAGCACGTCAAATGTCACCATCGACGGTTTAAGAGGTAATTTAAAAACTTATGAATCTACTATACTTAACCCGTCTTTGAATGACCAAAGGAAAGGCATAGCATTAAAAGCCTTCAAAGAACCAACGATGAATAACTCAAGCGACGATGATGAAGTCAAGCTTGCCATGAAGAAGTTTTGCAAACTTGTAAGGAAGAAAGAAAAGGTTGAGGATGGCCATGTGTGCTATGGATGTGGTGAAGCCGGGCACATCAAGAACAAATGCCCAAGAAGCGGAAGGAATGCTTGTCACTTCAAAAAGCAAAGAGCATACATCTCTTGGGGTGGCGACTCCGGTGATGAGTCAAACGAGCAAGAGGAAGACGAAGAACCAAATCTTTGCTCATAGCCCAAGAAGAGGATGAAGCCGCCAACCTCTGTCTCATGGCACACGAAAAACCAAACCGACGATGTTCAAGAGGTATGTACCATTTCTTCCGACTCTTACACCTTTGAAGAAATGCAAGAAGCACTTCATGAACTTTATGATGAATTTGTTAGCGCTTCCAAAACCAACAAATCGTTAAAGAAACGCCTCTCCACTCTTGAAAATGACTTTGAAAAGCTGGAAAAAGATAATGAGAAGTTAAAACAAGAAAATAAATTTTATGGCAAAAGAAGCGTTGACAAACCGGAAAGTTCCTCAAACGAATGTGAATCTTGTAAAGCTTTAAAGGAACAAGTCACAAAACTTGAGAGTACGGTTAAGAAATTTAATACTCCACACAAAGATCTTAATTTACTCCTTGACACCATGCATTTTTCTAAAGAAGGAATAGGCTTTAATAAAAATGGAGCTAAGGACAAAGAAAACGTTGAGCAATCACCTAGACAACCACCTAAGGTTCAACGTAAGAAACTTAAAAATCTGAATAATAGAAAACTTAGTCAATTTAAGAACACTAGACAACCTAGACAAAAACCTAAGAATGAAAATGTTCATGGTAGACAACCTAAGAAAAATTATCAAAATAATTTTGTGCATAATAATAATTTTTCTCAAAATAGAAGAAACAATATGAGAACACCTAGAAATGATCTTTTTTAAAATATGCATAAACCATCCTTTTCTCAAAATAGGACAAACATGGTTAGGCCCCCTAGCTATTATCAACCTAGGCATATGTTTAACCCAAACGTAGTATATGCCACTATTGCAATAGGATAGGACATATAGCTCCTCTATGTTTCACCAGACATAGGCACTTCACCTATAATGAAACACACAACATATTTGGTGCTAATGAAAAGAAATCCTTTGGAAAAGGATATTCGAATCATAAACAATCTCCACAGGACAATAAACAAAAGAAACCTTATTATTTCTTCTACTTTGACGAAAAGAAGAATGTCCACATTCCGTTGCCGGAACCGACACAAATCACACCGAGATATCGACACTCCGTTCAGGTAGACTGGAACCCGCCAACCACGAGACGATGGGTTGGCCAAGGTAACTCCTAAACGATCATCTAATTGTGTGTGTGTGTGTGTGTGGGCTCGTAAGGAAACGAATTTTGGGTGTGTGTGTGGGCAATAAAGGTTAACTAACCCACAAGGACCCATAGACATACTTTGGGTACCAAAGTATTGCTTTTTGCAGGTACGTATCAATGTGAGGAACTCAGGGGGAACCAGCGATAGGTGGTTTATCCCATCGCTGGGAAGGAAGTATTTTCTAACCAGCAGCTCTCTTCCCATCGATGGGAACTTCTTCCCATCGCTAGGTGTTTGACACATTTTTTAAAAAATTTTTTTTAACGGATTTCCAGTAGCTGTCTTCCCATGGATGGGAGAACCTTACCATCGCTCGGAAGCCTATTGCAGTTCAAAAATCATAGCCGTTGGGCACCTCATTCAATGCCCAACAACCATATTTTTGAACACCAAGGGCCCAAATTCTATTTTCCTGTAAATATCAACCATCCTTGGTCATTTTTAACACACAATTTACATTCCTTTGCATACTTTAAGCCTCTACTCACTTTCTAAACGCTTCAACAATGTCCAGAGGAAAGTCGAGGACGAAAACCGAGGCTTCAAAGAAGAAGGCCAACACCGACGCCACAACCTCTTCTTTATTAAATATGATTGTATTTTTATCCGTTGTATTCTGCATTTCCCTTTTAATGAATAAAAGTTTACCTTCAATTCTTTTTGCTAATGTCAAAAGGGGGAAGATATAAAGGTTATGCATTAATTGAGGGGGAATGTTTTTTTTCTCAAACACTTTGTTAAAAATCAAATTATATTTATTAAGGGGGAACATTTTTTTAAAATAATCCTCCTATGCATAACCTTGTCTTGTTTCCCATTATCAAAAAGGGGGAAATTGTTGAAACACGGGTTTGTCACGTTTTTGTACTAAAGCCGTGTTCGTCTTTTTGACAGGTTTTGATAATGCCAAACCGCCGAGAACGAAGATAAGAACAAGAGCGAAGAACGAAGATAAGAACAAGAGCTAAAAGAAGACCAAAAACGAAGACCGTAGTCTTAGTATTGTTGAGCCGGTCACAATTGTGATCAAGACTGACCCAAACCTCACGCCTTGGCTCTTTAGGCTAAAATCTATTTTTGCATTTATAATATCATAAAAATGTTTTTCAAACTTGTTTAATACATTAAAAACACTTGATGTTCGCCCAAACCAAAAACCAAGCCATCCGGCGTTCGGCTTTCAGAAACCGGCGTTCGGCATTCGATTTTCGGTGTTGGATTTTGCCTTCCGAACCAACCAAGTGGTTTTCAAATTTTTATGATTGGTTTTTACTTCTGGGCACATTTAAATAGTTTTCCATCAAAAACACTTCCAAAACCACCTTTCGTTTTTTGTCGTTTGATAAAAACCATGCAAAACGGCATAAACTTGGCTAGCCGTGGTTTTTACTTAAATGAAGTGGTTTTCGACTCCTTTTGTGTGGGAATTGTTTTTGAATGCATTTAAATGGTTCTCCAATCAAAACATCATGAAAACCACCTTTCAGTTTTGTCTTTTAGTAAAAACCACCCGTGTACGACATTGACTTGGTCAACCATGGTTTTTACCTTAACGACGTGGTTTTCAAATAACAAAGCTTGTTTTGAAATCCAAATACATTAAATAAGTGTTTTATATACTTAGTTTTTACTTTGGAGAACTTTGCATTTTTCGGTCGGGTTTTAGCGCCGGTCAGCTAGGCCATGGTTTTGGGCTAGCCATCTACCCAGTGATCGTAGATATCACCCATCCATGGGTAAGTGATCCCGGGATTCCTGAATCATGCCACCCAGCGATGGGAGATATTACCCAGCGATGGGTAAGCAGCCTTCAGCCCAACCAACTTCCAGAACCATGCCAAACAGCAATGGGAAGTTCTACCCATCGCTGTTAAAGCCTTGGTCCAACATCAACACAAGGCAGAACGACCTTACCCAGCGATGGGGAACTTATCCCATCGATGGGAACCCAGCGATGGTAAGGCTAAACCATCGATGGGAAGGCATGACCGTTGGAAGTCATTTAAGGTTGATTCTTTCCTTGTTTGGAAGTCAACCTCCCACCCAGCGATGGGAAACTTGTACCCATCGATGGGTAGGTGACCATTGGCTTCAAAACGGATGGAAAATTGGCTTACCAGCGATGGGTGAGTAAACATCGATGGGAAGCCAATATCCTGCAGATCCCAAATTAGTTCAATCCCATAAATCAAGCCAATCACCCCTTTAATGTATTGGTCCGTTGGATACTATTTTGGCACTATAAAAAGGGGTGTTTGGGTCTGCTTTACACATCAATTCACTTCACAATATTCATATTATCATTGCATCCAAACCACATTATTTTCCATAGCTTTCTAGAGCCAACTTGTGTGAAGTTTGAGTTGTTCTTGAGTCTTGTTCTTGAGTGTTTAGTGTTGTATACACGTTAAGGGAAGTTTGTTTCACTTGGTTGTACGAAGGAAAGGTATTTTCCTTCGGGTTGAAGTCTTGGAGTGCGGTATCTCCGAGCAAGTGTATTGAGGCTCGTGGGACTCGAGTTCTCAGGTTGTAACGGTTTGTGAAGAACCCATAAGCTTAATGGAAGTAGTGTAGCTCGAGAGAGTCTCTCGGGAGACTGGATTAGCCACACGTTGTGGTGAACCAGTATAAATCTTGGTGTGCTCCCTTTACGCTTTCTACGCTCTTTACTTTTCACGTTCTTAATTTTTTATTCCTGCGATTTCTACGATCAAACGCTATTCACCCCCTCTCTAGCGTTGGTCACTTATTCTAACAATGAAGACTACCAGAGATTCTTTTATCGTAAGGTTTGGACCATTGGTAAGGATACCATGTCTTTAACCAAATGGTCTCCAACCTTAACACAAAAGGAAGACTCCCCCATTGTTCTGGTCAGGATCTCCATTCCTCACCTTCCAATTCACCTTCATGAACAAGCTGCTCTTTTCAGTATTGCCTCCATGTTGGGGACCCGTTTAAAGGTTGACAATGCTACGCTCAACTTCACCAGACCCAAGTATGCTAGGGTTTGTGTGGAACTTGACGTTTCCAGGACTCTCCACCAATGCACTCATGTCAAACATGCTGATGCTAATCTCTTCTTCCAGGTTGTCTATGAAGACCCCCCTCTTTTCTGTAATTATTGCCGGAAACTGGTCACAACCAACTGTCTTGTAAACCGGTCACACAACCGGCGAAAAGGGATATTCCAGCCCATAAAGTCCAGGAGAATAACGACTACAAAGTCTAGCAGGGATGGACCAAAGTCACTCGGAAGGGCAAGGCTTCAACTATTCCTAAACATGGGGATATTTCCAAACATGTCCCTCATGTTTGGGCCCCAAAACCCACTATAAGAGAAGAACATGAGGAAACTTCCCAGACGGGTGCAAGAAGAAGGGCTCCAGTGTTTTACCTTCCACCAATGTTTTTTCTTGGACCCTTCTGGGTTGGCTCATTCACATTTACCTCCTCATGCAGAAGGGACCCCAGTGTCAGAACCTCCTCATGTAGAAGGGAACCAATTGTCACAACTCCCTTCTCTAAGACCTTTCCGGGTTCACAGCCAAGAGGAAGTTGAAGACATCCCCCTCAAGACAATCTCCTCCTCAGCTCCTTCTTCTCCATCTGGTACCCATTTAAATTTTTCAAGGATTCGTACAAGGTTAGATTTCAAGAAATCTGGTAATGGGGTTTTCCTAACCCTTCAATGATTAATTCGCTCTTTTGGAATGTTAGGGGTGTGTCTCATCGGTGCAAGAGACTATCCCTTTTGAATAAGCACCACTCTATGGACTTGATTTTTGTTCTTGAACCCATGTTGGCTTCTTCTAAAGGACCAGACATTGGTTTCTCCTTGGGTCTTACTGGCTTTCTTAGTACTTGCAATAACAAAATCTGGTTTTTTGGAACAAAGAGAACTATTCTCTCTTGAATCTGCTCGACGGAAATCAGATCTCTCATTTCACCATGAAGGGTATTCAAGATGATTCTACCTTTGTCCTTAGTGGAGTGTATGGGGGACACTCGGTGCTAAGTAGGAAAAACCTTTGGGAAGATATCAGATCCTTTAATAACTCCAATGCTCTTCCTTGGTTAGTTGGAGGAGACTTCAATGCCATTTCAGATATCCTTCATCACCAAGGGAAAAGGCTGCCTGAGTTACAAGGGGTGGAAGATTTTAACTCATGCATTAAAGATTCTAATCTGCTGGAAAGCAATTTCACTGGACCAATCTTTACCTGGCATGGAACTAGAAGTAATGGCAAAGTGTGGAGGAGATTGGACCGGGTTTTTTTCAATGAAAGATGGAGCAATCATTGGTGAGACATCTCAATGAAACATCTTTCAAAACAAGGCAGTGATCATTCTCCTCTCATAATCTCTTCTAAATCGTCCACAATTACAACCCCAAAATCCTTCAGGTTCCAAAACATGTGGCTCCTTAATAAAGACTTCAAAAATCTCTGCAAAGATTGGTGGGCAAAAATCCCATACTTTGGAGGAATGAGATGCCTTTTTCATAAACTCAATCACCTCAAATCCAAAATAGTCTCCTGGAATAAGGAACACTTTGGTAACATTTTTGACCTGGTGAAAGAAGCTGAGGATGAGGCCTCTACAGCTGAGATTAACTTTGACAAGGATCCTTCAGATACTAATCGAGAGATAGTCAATCTTAAAAAGGCTCAGCTTTTATAGGTGGGGAACTTGGAACATAGCTACTGGAAACAAAAATGTAATCTCAAATGGCTTAAAGAAGGTGATCCCAATACCAGATTTTTTCATAATTTGGTCAAGGAAAGAAGAAGGCAGCAAAAAATCAACTCCTTAAAGGATGAGCAAGGGATGTTTCAAGAAGATCCAAAAACATTAGAAGATATGGTTACTTCAATTCTTACTACCATAACCTGTTCAATTCTGCTGAACCGGATCCCTCTACATTAGATTATGATGACTTCCTGGAAAACATCCCTAAAATTTTAGATGATCATCATAATCAAGAACTGATGCATTTACCCTCTGAAGTTGAGATCAAAGCCATCCTTTTTGACATGGAGTCTAACTCTTGTACTGGTCCAGATGGTTTTAATTTCAATTTCTTTAAGGAATGTTGGGATATAGTTAAGAGAGAGGTAACTTCTGCTTGTCAAGAAGTCTTCTTGGGCATTCCACTCCCTATGGCTGCTACAAGCACCAATATTTGTCTTATTCCCAAATGTGATAATGCCTCTAGACTGAATGATTTTAGGCCAGTGTGTTTTTCAACTGTTGCCTCCAAAATTGCAACAAAATGCTTTGCCAAGAGACTTAGCAGGGTGCTTCCTTTGATCATCTTTGAAGAACATGGGGCATTTGTGGCTGGGAGGGATATCATGGAGCAGATTCTACTCACAAAAGAAATGGCCCATAACATTGATAGAAAAGCTGGGGTGGCAACATTATCCTCGACATGGCCAAAGCCTTTGATAAGTTAAAGTGGTCCTATCTCCTGGATATACTCCACAGATTTGGCTTCTGTCACCAGTTCTTAATTATGATCAAAAACCTCCTTCATTCCTCTAAATACTTCATTCTTTTCAATGGGAAACCTTGTGGTTTCTTTGGCCAATCTAGAGGAATTAAACAGGGTGACCCCTTATCCCCCCTCCTCTTTATTATTGCTAATGAAGGTTTCTCAAGGAGCATTAATAAACTGTTCCACACTGGTTCTTTGGGAAGATTCAACTGTGGCAGAAACAGCATCCCTGTCACCCACTTGGCTTATGCGGATGACCTCATTATCTTCACCAATGCTCATCTCAGATCTATTTCCAATTTGAAGACATTCTTGGCTAAATATCAACAGGTCTCTGGTCAGACTATTAACTCCTCTAAGAACAGCTTCATGGTTGGGAAGAAGTTTAATACTGTGAGAATTAGGAAGCTGGAGCAACTCCTAACCATGCCACACAGAAAGCTCCCTTTTACCTACCTGGGTAGCCCTATCCACTCTGGCATCACAAGGAAACACCATTGTACACTTCTCATTTCTTCCTTTGACAAGAATCTCAATGGATGGTATCAAAAAAACTTGGATCAAGCAGGAAGATTAATCCTTATTAATCATGTCCTCAATACCATTCCTAACTATTTTTTGGTTGCAAACATTGTTCCTAAATCCATCATCAACCTTATTCATCAAAAGATGGCAAGGTTCTCAAGGGGTTGTGGCCAGAAGAAGCATCATTGGCTGAAGTGGGAATCTCTTTCTTTACCAAAAGAAGAAGGTGGTATAGGAACTAGAGACTTCCAATCCTTGGAGGAGGCCTTTAGTCTCAAATTATGGTGGAAATATCAACATAATAACAGCCTCTGGGGAGATTCATGCGGGCCAAATATCATAGGCGGGGAGAGATGGAATGTCACTTAGTGGACTCCCGTACCTGGACCAGGATCACAAGGATTAATGACAAAGCTCTCAATCACTGCCATACTACTGAGGTGGAAGCATTTATTTGGAATGAGGACCCATCTAGACAGTTCACCCTTAAGAGTGCTTATGAGGTTTGTGGGACTAATTCTAGCCCTTCTCTTACGTTTCATAATATTTGGGAATCCCCACAAAAGTCCAAGATCAGCATCTTTATGTGGAAACTTTTACGCAAGTGCCTCCCAATCCCTAAAAACCTTCGAAGGCTTAGGTTTGCTCTCCCTTCTGTTTGTCCTTTCTGCATGAATTCAAGCCTCACAGCAAAACATTCCCTGATTGATTGTGATAAGATCGTGGATATTTAGAGACATTATGCTAGATTCTTAAACTTCCTTCACAGAGAATCTTCTACTATCAACCAACACTTTATGAACTGGTAGTTGAGAGACACACCTAACCTTTATGGGCTTCTGCGTAAACATCTGCCAGGGATCATCACGTGGCACATCTAGAAAAAGATTAATGAGATCATTTATGGGAAATGTTCCAATTTTAGCACTTTAAGTCTTATTCATCAGACTGATTCGTATACCAAACAATGGTTGTCCATCAAGACTCCCCGCAAACTTCAACATTTTGACTCCTGGTTATTCTCACATAATCTTATACCCAGGTTCACATCTAACAACTATGTTCGCATGGTTAAATGGAAGGCACCTCCTACGGGTAGGCTTAAACTCAATGTAGATGCCTCCTATACCACATCACATCAAAGAGGTGCAGCTATATTAAGAGATGCAGAAGGAAGACTGGTCCGTGGGGCCTCCTTCAAACTACACTCTAGGATTGCCTACCAAGCTGAAGTGGATGCCGCTATTAAAGCAATCAGATGGGCCCTATTAATTTCCAACTCTCTGATTTATGAGACTGGTGATAAGTCTATTGTTTCCAAGATTCCAATGTTCAATCAAAATTCAGTTTCCTCTTTCCCAATTGACGTTTTGGGTCAACTCATACTTCAAAATGGGATCCAAGTTTCTCACATTTTACGTGAAGGGAACTCTACTGCAGATGGCCTCGCAAAGGTGGACCGGACATTAGACTCCCCTCTCAAGGAATACTTGCATATCAACCTTTGCCCTGATGTTGTTGAAAATATTTTGTACCATGATTGTATCCCCTCGTTCCGTTTTCATTAATAAATTCTTATTTCTTTGCATATATATATATATATATATATATATATATATATATATATATATATATATATATATATATATATATATATATATATATATATATATATATATATATATATATATATATATATATATATATATATATATATATATATATATATATATATATATATATATATATATATATATATCATTTAAATATCCAATCATTTATATATCATATAATTAAAATGTCCAAATATAAGCATATATTATATTTATATGTACATGTGTATTCTTACACATTGTCACACAATATGGATATATACAAAATATATAATATCATTTTATTCCATTTCAATATTCTATACTTTCATATATTATATGTATTTGACCCTATTCTAGGTACTTATAATGTTGGCCATATTAGTTAGATAGTATAAGTGATAAGCGGTATCTAGCAACACATTATCGTTCCCAATTTATAGATATGAAGCTCTCGGAATAATTCCTACAACGATACATCTCATTTTACAACTCTTAAAGAAAACAGAATGCCTCTTTTTGGGTTGCCACTGCCAAAAATTAGCTTCTTTAATATAAACACAATGAACCCATCTCACCCAAAGTGAATCCTTCTTGGCTGCCAGATTCTAGAGAAGTTTACATAACAAGGCATCATTCCATTTACCAACATCTTTAAGGCCCAGTCCCCCCTCTTTTTTGGGTTTACAAATATCTGTCCAAGCCACTTTAGCGAATTTGCTCCCTAGAGGAAGTCACGGCAGAGGGATGTGATGCAATCAAGTACATATTTCTAGACAGGGAAAGCCTGGAGCCAAAAGGATTGAACTCCCTGGATAACTGCTCTAATCAATTCCAACTTGCCTGCATATGAAATCTTCATAGTCTTCCACTTTGAAAGAAACCCTTCCAAAGTTTTGAATAGAGGTGCATAATCATCTTTAGAGAGCCTTTGTGATGCCAAAGGTAGTCCCAAGTATCTCACAGGGAGTTGACCACGAGGGAATGAAACCAGACCCAGGATTTCATGGCTAGTATCCCTGTATTTCCCAGCAATAAAGATATTAGATTTGGTAGGGTTAAGGACCAAAACCTGAGAGACTTGAGAAATGCTCAGACAGTCCATAAGCACTTGCACATAGGGGAGGTCTCCCCTAGAAAATAGCATAAGATCATCAGTAAAGGCCAGGTGTGTGATTCCCAAGTGAGCACAATCTTTATGATAATTAAAACTACCCTCTATGGTTTTGATATTGGGTAATCTGGAAAAGTACTCAATACAGAAAAGGAAGAGTGTTGGTGACATAGGGTCCCCTGTCTTAGCCCATGTTTGCTCTTGAACAAGCCATGAGAATCTCCATTAACCATAATGGAAGAAAAAGCAGATGTAACACATTCCATAACAAGAGAAACAAATCTGGAAGGGAATCCGAAAGCAAGCATGGCATCCTCAATAAACCTCCAAGATACAGTGTCATATGCCTTTGTGATATCCATTTTAATCATACAGCTGGGAGTGGATCTCCTGATAGCATAATCCTTGATCAAGTATTGGGAAAGAAGTATGTTATCAACAAGTGATCTACCTTGAACAAATGCCTCTTGAGCAGGGTCAATCAAGTCATTAAGGAGAGGTGCAATGCGCTTCCAAAAAATCTCCGTAATGATCTTGTAAAGGCCATTTGGACAAGCAATAGGTCTAAAGTCCTTCACTAAAGGGTTATGGACAGTTTTTGGGATTAAAACAATCATAGCATGAATGATCTGCTTCAATAATTTTCCTAAAATAAAGAACTCCAAGACAGCCTCATAAACATCTTGACCAAACAATGACCATTGGTTTTTGAAAAAAAGTTGATTTATACCCATCTGGTCCAAGGGCTTTCTCATTACCAATGTCAAAAACCACATCCTTGACCTCCTCCAAAATAACATTAGCAAGTAATCTGGAATGGGCAGATTCAGGGACAGTGGCTCCAGCTGCGAAAACCTCTTCATCAATAAGCCCTACTTGGGGGGTTGTTCCAAACATATTTCAATAGAACTCAAGAAAGCACCCAACAACCTCATCACTTGAGGTAGTTTTAGTTCCATCATCCTTAATTAAAAAAAGGAATTGCATTCTTCTTCTTATTTTTCTTGACCAGGGAATGAAAGTAGTTGGTACATCTGTCAGACTTCATAAGAAAATCACATTTAGCCTTTTGCTGATAGAATTCTAATTTGCATCTAAAAGGAAGTTATCTTTTTCCTCTTTATCTCAGCATCATCTAACAAAGCTTGGTTGTTAGGGTCTGCCATAACCTCCTTCATAATAACTCTGTATTCTTCTTTAGCCTCCAAAGCTCTTCTAGAAATATGGCCAAACGCATTTTTGTTAAGGGCCTTCAAGGGTGGTTTAAGACGCTTCAGTTTAGAGCACAAAGAGAACTGTTTGGACCCATTGACCCTAGTCCCCCTTGATTGGTAACCAACCCTTGAAATTCCTCATGCCTAATCCACATGTTGAAGAATTTGAATGACTTACTCTTTCCAATAAATGGACTACCACAATGGAGTTGCATAGGACTATCATCACACAAATGGTTGAAGTCCATAAAATCACAGGTAGGAGCCCAACCTATATCAGCCCAGTTTTGATTGATAAGTACTCTATCAAGTTTGTCAAGTTTATTCCCTTTATGCCAAGTATAAAACAAGCCATTAGAAGGTACATCTTCAAGGCAATTAGAAGATTTGAAGTTCTGCAAATCAGTCATATAGTAAGCTCCCTGACTCATAAAATTAACCCTCTCATTGGAAGCCAGAACACAATTGAAGTCCCCCAGCAGAGCCCACAACTTAGTCATATTATTAGCAAAAGAGGAGGGTTTATGACAAGGTAAAGGCCATAAATGAATGATAAGAAAAAATCCTTCTGAGTTGATAGGCACCCGACTGCATAGTGGATGTATTGATCACTAATACTTAGCACATCGCAAATAAAAAAGGAGGGGTTCCATAAGACCAAAATACAGCTACCAGGAAATAACTCAAAATTAGTGGCATATTTCTAGCCTGGAACTTTGGCATTCACAAACATTTCCAACTTGGTTTCTGAAATTTTTGTTTCCAAAATGCAGGCAAAATGGACACCAAGTTCAAAAAGATATTTACACAAAAGGTTTTGTTTAGAGGACCTTGTTAGTCCTCTAATGTTGCAGCAGAAGATCTTAATCTAGGGGGAGGGGCAGTCCCCTTTCTGTTAGAATAATAGACCAACGCTAGAGGGGGGGGGTGAATAGCGTTTGATCGTAGAAATCGCAGGAATTAAAAAATTCAAAAGAGATGTAAAGAGAAGAGTAAGAGGCACACCAAATTTACCCTTGTTCACCACAACTTGTGGCTAATCCAGCCTCCCGAGAGACTCTCTCGAGCTACACTACTATCTCGTTAAGCTTAACGGTGCTTAACAAACCCTTACAACTTGAGAGTTCGAGTCACACGAACCTCAACGAATCCTTCAAAGGAAACAGCCCTTCCTTTGAATCAACTGAGAGAGATACTTTCTCTCAACGTGTCTAGCAGCACAAATACACTCAAGAACGAGACTCTCTTATAGAGTAGATGATGAGTAAACGAAGTACGCTCAAGAACAACTCAACTTCACACAAAATGGCTCTAAAAAGCTATGGAAAAGAGTGTTGTTTGAATGTAATGAAAGTATGAATATTGTGAAGTTAATTGGTGAGAAAAGCAGACCCAAACACCCCTTTTTATAGTACCAAAAGAGGCTCCAACGGACCAATACATTAAAGGGGTGATTGGCTTGATTTATGGGATTGAATAAATTTGGGATCTGCAGGATATTGGCTTCCCAGCGATGTATGGACCTTACCCATCGCTGGTAGGCCAATTTTCCTTCATTTTTGAAGCCAACGGTCACCTACCCATCGATGGGTACATGCTTCTCATCGCTGGGTGGGAGGTTGACTTCCAAACATGGAAAGAATTAACCTTAAATGACTTACAACGGTCATGCCTTCCCATCGATGGTTAAGCCTTCCCATCGCTGGGTTCCCATCGATGGGTAATCCCATCGCTGGGTAAGGGCATTCTGCCTTGTGATAATGTTGGACCAAGGCTTTAACAGCGATGGGCAGAACCTCCCATCGCTGTTTGACATGGTTCTGGAAGTTGGTTTGGCTAAGGGGCCGCTTACCCATCGATGGGATGTTCTTCCCATCGCTGGGTGGGTGGTTAGCCAAAAACCTATGGTTTTTGCCTTAACCAAGGCCTAGCCAACCGATGCAAAAACGGACCGAATAATCCAAAGTTCTCCAAAATAAAAACCAAGTGTTTGAAACACTTATTTGATGTATTTGGCTAAGAAATCAAGTGAGTTACTTTAAAAACCACGTCATTTGAGTAAGAACCACGGCTAGCCAAGTTTACGCCGTTTTCCGTGGTTTTTGTCAAACGACTAAAAACGAAAGATGGTTTTCAAAGTGTTTTTGTTGTAGAACCGTTTAAACATTCCAAAGAGTGAAAGCATATCATAAAATTCTGAAAACCGCTTGGTTGGTTCGGATGCCAAAAACCAAAGCCGATAACCGAAAGCCGAACGCTGGTTTCTGAAAGCCGAACACTGGATGGCTTGGTTTTTGGTTTGGGCGAACACCAAGTGTTTTTAATGACTTAAACAAGTTTGAAAAACATTTTTATGATGTATGAAATGCAATGAGAGATTTTAGCCTAAGGAGCCAAGGTGTAAAGATTGGGTCGGTCTTGATCACAATAAAGACCGACTCAATACTATGACTAAGGTCTTCGTTCTTGGTCTCCGTTTAGCTCTTGCTCTTATCTTCGTTCTTCGCCTTGTATATTCAATGTTCGACTTGATCACGGCGGTTTGGCATTATCAAAACCTGTTACAAAAAAGAACACGGCTTTAGTACGAAAACGTGACAAGCCCGTGTTTCAATAATTTCCCCCTTTTTGATAATGGCAAACGAGACGAGGTTGTGCATAGGAGGATTATTTTAAAAAAAATGTTCCCCCTTAATAGATGCCATTTTACAAAGTAAAAAAAATTCCCCCTCAATTTATGCATAACCTTAATATCTTCCCCCTTTTGACATTAACAAAAAGAATTAAAAGTAAACTTTAGAATTTTAAAAGTAAACTTTTATTCATTAAAAAAGGGAAATGCGGAATACAACGGAATGGAAATAAAAAATACAATCATAGTAAGAAGAGAAAAGAATAGTCTAAGCATCGGTGTCCTCGTCGTCATCCTCGTCGTCCTCGACATCCATGGGATCGCCGTCGACCGCATCTTCAAAGTCGGCTTCGTCGGGGGAGGAGGACGGAGCATAGGAGTTATCCCCCTCGTCCTCGCCTTCATAGTTTTTGCCAAAGAAGGTGGTGTCAAAGGGCGGCGGGACGTAGTTGATGCCGCGGAAGAACACCGTCATGTCGTGGTGTTGGCGTTGCAACGTCCAGTCCATCCGCTCAATTGACTGCCCCATGCCATCCACTGTGAGGGTTAGCCGATTCAGAGTATCGGCTATGGATTGCAAAGAGGCCTTGGCGGGAGCGGGGGCTCGTGCATGACTTGGGCCTGCGTCGTCCCTGTCTCCGGACTTCTTCCGGAAGGTGCTGTCTTGAATGATCCAAATCTTCGTCATCTTCGTATCCGGGCCGGCGATGGAGATGTCGGCGGAGATGATGAGGTCCATGACGAGGAAGGCGTATGGCAAGCTCCGCTTCGTGGTGATGGAGGCGCAATCCGCCATGTGGATCATCACGAATTTCGCCCAATTGATGGAGGCGCCGTGGATGATGGCGTGAATCGCCTTCAAGTCCTCGTTGAAGAGCGAGGTATGGCTGCTGTCCCGGGGGCGGAGAATTCGGGTGATGATGTAGAGGAGGAGGCGCTTGTCCGGTGGGGCCGAGTGGATCGTTGGCGCGCCGCTGTGGCGGATCAAGTTGAGGATCCAATCGTCGCCACCATAAGTCACGATGTCGTCACCGCGGATGGGCAGCCCTGCGACCCGAGCAAAGGTAGGCAAATCAATCTCTACGTCGTAGAGATTGATGCTGCTGCGAATGGTGTCCCCGTCACGGCGGAGATTGGAGTAGAAGGCCCGGACGAAGGCGGGATTGAAGCTCGAGAGTCTCCTGGAGACGAACGACCACAGACCCGACGCTTGAAGCTGATTGTCGAGGTCGTGGTACCCCTTTTGTTGAAGGTACAACTCGGGCAGCACCCTAGGCAGAGAAATGGGACGCTTGGCAAAGTGCGTGAGGAACCGGTTGAGTTCCTCCTCCGACCCGAACTCAAGAAACGAGCCGTCTAGGTAGGGAAACGGCGGGGGCGCTGAGGTCGTAGCTTCGGCGTTGCCCTTCTTCTTGGAAACCTTTGTCTTCTTTCCTCCGGCCATGATTGAAGCAAAAAGATGAAGATTTATGTAAAAGAGGAGATTTTGATGTGAAAAATGTGTGTTAAAATGAGTAGAGATGAAGGATACATATAGGAAAGGGTGAGAAATTCGTTTGAATTTGAAAAAAGTGACTGTTGGGCAATAAATTCGGTGACCAACGGTTAAAAAATTTGAATTTGCAGCAGGCTTCCCAGCGATGGGTGGAACTTCCCATCGATGGGAAGGTCGACACTGGAAAGCGAAGAAGAAAACAATGGCTGCCTTCCCAGCGATGGTGAAACTCACCCATTGATGGGAAGGGGGCTACTGGAAATCCGATAAAACGCTTAAAAAAAAGTGTCAAACACCCAGCGATGGGAGAAAGTTCCCATCGATGGGTAGGGAGGTTCTGGAAAAAAATTTGAAACTGAAATCATTCACCCAGCGATGGGATGAGATACCCATCGATGGGTAAGGTGTTTCTGGAAATCCGTTAAAAGTTTTTTAAAAAATAGAGTCAATTACACATCGATGGGAGAAAGTACCCATCGATGGTAAGAGAGGTTCCGAAAAAAGAAACACTTCCCTCCCAGCGATGGTACAGCCCACCCATCGCTGGTTCCCCCTGATTTCCAGAATTCTTCACTTCGAGCCGTCCCTGCAAAAAAGAGTTAGAAAACCCTCCGACGCTGAAGTTAGTAAACGTTCACACAAGGATAAAGAAGTGATAAAATGCACAAATTAGATCATCGTGGAGTCAAGGATTCCGAGTTCACTACGAATGCGGAAGAACGACT